GATGAGTTTGAGAAACAAAAATAAGATTAATTGCATACAACAATTCTCCCACAAACCTAATATCGAGATTCTTATTCACTACATATATTCTTTTCATAATTTGCATGCATACTTACCAAAAAAAAACATGTTCCAGCATATGTATGAGAGTAAATTGATGGTCATGTTCTTGGAAGATGGCTACCTAGATTTCCAAAAAGGGCATGCTTTCCTAAAAGGCTAGGTTACGAAAACGGATAAAAAGACTAGGATTTTGCTGCCACTGTCATTTCAGACTGTTGACAGATAGATAAAAAGAGAGCATGTTAACACATACCCTATATGATTACATGCTATGATTCCATTTATGGATACCCTACTTGACAAATGAAAGCAAGTTTGACTACCTCCAATAATTGCCCGAGTGATATAGTGCTTACCACTCAAATTGGATGCAAATGGTAAGATACATAAAGTGATATTTATTCTAGAAAAGATTGATTTTCAAGATCGACTCTCAATTCAAAAGATTAGAGATATGATTCTATCGAATTGTTTGGTCTAAATTCATTCTATCTTCCATCGTTTTAACAAGATTCTAAAATAAGTATGGGGATGGTCCAAATGGGGAGAAGAATTTGAGGGTGAAGCTATGGGGTGATGACCAGTGTGAAGAATTGACTATACACATTTTGTTTGGAGAAAAAGCAACAAGAAGATGATGGGATTGAGAGTGGAGGACATATGATAAGGCATTTGTGATGAGGGATTCTCCAAGTCTCCTTTCTTCTCCATGCTTCCTGGCCACTTGCATGTATGCCTAATTGCTCTCTCTCTCTCTCTCTCACACACACACACACACAATATGGGAAATCGTCACATATGAAAGAAAAATATATCATACTTTTCTTTTCCAAATATGGTTTAGTCCTCCGAAATATTCATTATACTTAAAAATCAATCATTTTTATTTCGAGGTTTTTTTGATATTGCCTTGCATGCCAAACCATTGTAAAAACCATAACTTCCACTTAAACCTTACTTCATGTTTTGCTTTGCACCAAAAACATTTTGAAGCTGTTACTCGCTGATTTATCTCATGGGAAAAAGGGTGACATTATAATTTTATAAACAAAGAAATAATATTATTGACATCAAAAAACTTAGACTACTACTCTAACTTAATGATGTGACAAGTGAAATTGTTCAACTAAAAATATTCAACAATTATAATTATAATAATATTATTAAACAATGTCCGCTGTTAAATCATTAGGTTTGTACTTTAGGTTAAATTCTTATATCCCACTAAAAGAACTCTAAACAGAGGCGCCCGGATTTTGCTCTATAAATAGAGGCATTGAGAAATCCATAGGTCACCAAAAACTAGAGCTCTCTAAGTGTTTAACACATGCAAGAGAGGAGGAGGCATTGGTGATGCTGCTGACAGAAGATAGAGAGCACAGATAGATGAAATGCATGGAGTCTGCATCTCACTCTTTGTGCTCTCTATTCTTCTGTCATCACCTTCAGCCCCTCATTCTACAGCATACACTTGAGGAGCTAATATTACTACCATATAAGAATCACTATACATACACTTACGGAGAAAAGGGTTGCACCATTCAAGAGCTCCCCCCCCCCCTCTTTTCTCTCTCTCTCTCNCCTCAGCTGCCTTTTATTATGGTGTCTGCCGCCTGGTCTCCATTGCAGCCTGCCACAGTCGCTGGGCACTGTTCACGACTTTCTTGTTTCACTGCTCTTGAATGCTGCCTTGATTGCTGCATGTTTGCTCTGTTATGAGGAGTTCATCCTAAGAGCATGAAAGGTTCTTCTGGCTCCTTCATCCATTTGTTCTCCCACTTGGCTGTTGGCATGTATGTTGGCATTGGGCTTTCCATTTTATCTGATGGAAGCCTCTTTGCTTTCTTTGTCTCCTTTGAGTCTGGATTCTGCTGGAAGTACCAGCTCAAGGCTGGCACTTTCTTTAGAATTCTACACTCTTGGTTGTTGTAAATCTTTTGGTTCTACTTTTGTATTGGGTGGATGCATTGTCATGTGAGCATCACCTCTGTTTTTTTTTTTCTTATGAATATATTTACCTTCCGTAAATTACTGGCTGTGACTTGGTTAAAGATATAGACTAGCATTTTTGATACCCAGCTAAAGTAAATAACATTAATGAGAAAATTGTCAACTCCCAAAAAAGAGCAATGATATTTCAATTCAGTTTCTGGGTCTTGCTGAAATAATCATGCATTTTAGAGTAGTTCAGGGATCCCTTCATACTTGAAGGGTCTATAACATGCGAGACTAGGCAAATTTATGTCCAGCTAACCGTTTATGGGAGCATCATCTGTTGTATATGTATGATTCCTCTCCTAGTTCTTGAACCCTCTTTTATCTTCTTCTCATTCTATCATACTTATCTGTTGCATTGTCTAGTATTTTCATCTGTATTATTTCTCTAATTTGTTTGCAATGCTATTTTCAGACCTTCTCATTCATAAACATTCCTGTTGTTCTTGTCACTCGTACTATTTGTAACATTTAGGAACACATTGTTTTTATTATAGTTGGTAATATCCTCATCAGCAACAGCATCATTTTTTCTGAATCCACCTATTGACAAGAAGCCGAATATTGTTTTTCTTGTTGTTTGTTTCTCCTTAGCATTCACTAGGGCAAAAAGTCAAATTCCTTTTCCGTTCAGATTGCTATCAATGAATTATGGACCCCTGACCCCTCTCATACCTTACGGTTAATTTAACAAAGTATGCTACAATGGTTGTGGCTTCAAATCCCTTTATTTTTGGGATTATCATCTTCTTATTCAATATGGGGGTTCCAAAATGTTAACTGTAATTGCATTATACCATCAGTGACAACAATTACTATTTGCATAGATGCTATCTCATTTATTAATGGAAATTAGAGTGTTCTATTTTGACCTTTGCAGTCTTTTTTAGCGGCGTAGTGTATTCTTGGAGAGTTACTTACAGTTTTGTTTCTTAATTACTCAAGCCTTATTGTGGCGTGTATGACTCTTTAGCACAGTACAATGAGGGAAGTCCATCTTGGGTCACCACTTACTGTGAGGTCCCATGGTGTGACATTGGCAAGGACACACGTGCATGATTGGCTGATATTGGCGCTTCTTGTCATGATAGAAGTCGTTCTAAATGTTATCAATCCCTTTTACCGCTTTGTTGGGAAAAATATGACGACTGATCTAAAGTATTCCTTGAAAGATAACACCATTTCTCTATGGGCTGTCCCAGTGAGCGACTTTTCCCCATTATTTGTAAACAAAACCGCAGTTATTTCCATAGGAGTAGTGTAATTGATGGGCTTTCTCACTATTATTATTTTTATTTTGTATTTGCCTAACTAGATGTATGCAGTTTTGTTGCCAATAGCGATTTTTGTTCTCTTTTGTCTTCGTAGAAGAGATGTGTATGAATTCTATTACCTAAAGTATTTGACCGTCAAGGCCATGTTGCTAAACTCTGCACTGTTTTGCTTCCTCTACTTGTCACATCTCTTGTTGGATTATCTCGAGTGGATGACCACATGCATCATAGTGCCTCTGTGTTTTGTTTTTGTTTTGATTTTCTCCCAGTTGAGCCATTTTCCATTTCTAAATGTAGGTTAGGGACCTTATGCCTTTTTCCGGGTGTTGGAGGAATCACGTGCAAGTACACAACCTGCCAATACTGTGGATACGCAAAATGTGATTCCAGCTCAAATGTAGGGGATTTGGAGTTGGTTGGGACTTGGGAGGTGACTTTGAAGGGATGATTTCAAAATTCTTCTTAGTTGTTATCTTAGGATCATCTTCACTATACTAGCTACAAATACAATGGGCTGGAGGGATCATAGAAAAGGAAGTTATTATCGGATGCTGATGAATTTACATTCTAAAGCAATAGAAGTTATTATCGCACCTCTCGTCAGACCTCAGGCACAAGTACAACGTCCGGTCAATCCCGGTCTGAAAAGACGAGGTCCAGGTGGTGCGTGGGACCTGCAAGGGCCGGGAGGGCAAAATTGTTCAGGTTTACCGCAAAAAATGGTCATTCACATTGAGCGGGTCACCCCTGATAAGGAAAATGGGTCGATGGTGAATGTTACTAAGGTGGTTGTTACTAAGCTTAAGCTTGATATAGGACCGGAAGGCTTTTGCTTGACCGGAAGGCCAAGGGAAGGAAAAGGCTGCTGATAAGGCCAAAGGGAAGTTCACCGTCAAGAATGTTGCTGCCGGTGCACCGTCTCTCCGAGAGATTGATTAGAGGTTTAACCTCTTTTTTTCAACTGTGTTTGATCTTTGGTTTTGATGTGTTGGATTAGTAAGAATAGTTATGTTTCCTAAGCAACGAAAATTAATCATTTAGTTATTATTATTATTTTTTTAAACATGATTGTGCCCGACGATCTTTTGTTATTCTTCAGTTTTTGTCACGTGATATCTTTTTAGTGCATTCAAATTATTAGATGTTGGTACATTGATATTTATAAAATTTATTTATTTTATGTCTAAACAATTCCGTTCTCATTTAATTGTTGTTGGCTCTAGTTAACTTGCTTGTGAACAACATTGGCTTGATTTTATTTTCTTTCTTTTTTACAAAGCTAGTTTTTAAAATATTTGCTCTTTGATGAATTATATCTGGTAGCGATAATCATGTTCTCTTGATGCGAAGGACTTCGCATTGGTATAAGGTACATAAGCTTGATCATGCTTTTATAGCTGCTGGACTTGTAATAGCCTTAGTTTAAATGTTGCACCGAGGTTGTGTCTAGAGGTTTGTGGGCGGAGGGGTTCCTTTGACATTGGCTATAATAATAACAAAATTTAAATTATTTTTACAGGGATTGATGAGAGAATGGATCATACATATAGAGAAAATAAACAGAATTGAAAATGAGAGAATGGATCATTCAAAAATATTTAGTGATTGGGAGAGCAATTTTTTTTTCTTAGTTCAATCATGTATTGATAATTTTGATAGGTATTTTTTGAATTTTTTACATTTATGAAAATTTCGGCTATCTTGTATTTGTAATTTTTTTTCTTTTTATGAATATTGAAATATTTTTATCCATAATTATGAATGATCCATGTTTATAATTTTTAGTTGTTTAGTTATATTTTTTTCTGTCGCAGTTAAAAAAAAATGTGTACAAATAAGCATGCACATGTTTAGATCCAAAAAATAAATAAAAAAAATGTGTAAGGAGAGTATTTGTATCAACAAATTGCTGAAGTAAATGATAAATATTTAAAATGACAAAAATTATATAAAAGATTATTTGCGTCGGTAAATTACTGATGCAAAAAAATAACTCTTTGTGTCAGCAAGTAAAATAAATTATTTACATCGGCATTTTGCCGACGCAAAAATGTTTTTTTTTTTTTGCCTCAGCAATAGCTACTGATGCAAAAAATTGACGCAAACCAATCTTCAGCCTCATTTTTTACATCTACTGTTTTTCGATACTAATATTTTTTTCTGTCTGCTAAACTTTTTGCATCACCCATTATTTGCAATCCCTTAACCAACTCAAATGGTATGATTGCTGACTTAAATATTTTTTACATTGGTATATAGACTATTTTCATCGACAAATTATCGACTCAAAAACCTTTTTTTCTTATAATGCGTAAATATTCAGAATTTTTCTTAAATTTTCCATTGTTTGGTTGTTGTGTTTTTATTAGTCATTTAGACATTGATTTTTCTTTTCATTTCGTATACAAATGCGAGCATTGTTAATATTCTCATTTATTTTATTGAGGTTATGATATGTGATTTGGGTCGGTTCGGATCGGTGATGACAAACAAAATTATAATGAGTTTGAAGAAAGATTTGAAGAAGCTTGTGGAGGAAATTTATTAAATTATATTAATTCTATGGTTTTCTGATCAAGCTTATTTAATGTATGAAACTTGAATACGAATACTTGTATTCTATTTAAAATAAAATCAGAGTGCTCTAATCCACTATTTCAAGGTCCTTTTGAAAATAATTTTTAAATTTAAATATATTAATTTTCTTAGATTCTTGTAATTGTGGTATAATTTTAATTAAAATATATTCAAAATTTTCATTCCCCTCGTACAATGGAATTGATTAGCCGCAAAGGAGGAGTGTCCCACTCCCTGCAAAAGGGTGTGGATGCAAGTGCACATTGCACATGGTCTACAAAAGGTAAGTCGGTCAAAAAAAGGGGCTAAGAGTTGTCAAGCTCAAATTAAAGCACCCAATAAAACAGACCACCACAACAATATGCATCCAGAAGCATCGGAATAAAGGGAACCCAATCTAGCAAATTTGATGCTTCCGGTAAATCCAAATTCAAATTTGAATATTCTTATATATGGATGCAGAGTAATATTGTCTCTACTAAATTTATACATTAAATGATGTAGATTATTAGATTGGTGAGTCGTATTGACATCCACAACTCATCCAATGAATGTGATGTGATGTTTTTTTTTTTTACTGCAGGGTATCTAAGCTAGCGTTAACTACTTCTTTGAGTTTAGCGATTGGTCATCGTGATTTCAATTTAGTTAGAGTATGTCCCTAAAGAGACAAAGATAGCTGGTCTTTAAGAGGTGTAGAAAGAGATTGAATCCGAGATCTCGAAATTATTAAAAATCAATTTTTAACCACTTAACCACCCCCAGGTTTCAATGAATGTGATATTGCCATATCATTTAATGCACAAATTTAGTGCATATAACATTACTCATATATGCACCCATACAAAAACTAAAGTACTTGGAACTAAAATTCACAAGGTGAAGTAGCTGTACTTCCATTGCTACATTAAAATCTTTGTATTGACCTAGAATAATATCAAGAAGACACAACACAATAACAACACTAACAATAATAATAACTTTTAGCAGAATTGTCAAGTTACTCTACTATGAATTGAGACAGGATGAGTTTGAGAAACAAAAATAAGATTAATTGCATACAACAATTCTCCCACAAACCTAATATCGAGATTCTTATTCACTACATATATTCTTTTCATAATTTGCATGCATACTTACCAAAAAAAAACATGTTCCAGCATATGTATGAGAGTAAATTGATGGTCATGTTCTTGGAAGATGGCTACCTAGATTTCCAAAAAGGGCATGCTTTCCTAAAAGGCTAGGTTACCAAAACGGATAAAAAGACTAGGATTTTGCTGCCACTGTCATTTCAGACTGTTGACAGATAGATAAAAAGAGAGCATGTTAACACATACTCTATATGATTACATGCTATGATTCCATTTATGGATACCCTACTTGACAAATGAAAGCAAGTTTGACTACCTCCAATAATTGCCCGAGTGATATAGTGCTTACCACTCAAATTGGATGCAAATGGTAAGATACATAAAGTGATATTTATTCTAGAAAAGATTGATTTTTAAGATCTACCCTCAATTCAAAAGATTAGAGATATGATTCTATCGAATTGTTTGGTCTAAATTCATTCTATCTTCCATCGTTTTCACAAGATTCTAAAATAAGTATGGGGATGGTCCAAATGGGAAGAAGAATTTGAGGGTGAAGCTATGGGGTGATGACCAGTGTGAAGAATTGACTATACGCATTTTGTTTGGAGAAAAACCAACAAGAAGATGATGGGATTGAGAGTGGAGAACATATGATAAGGCATTTGTGATGAGGGATTCTCCAAGTCTCCTTTCTTCTCCATGCTTCCTGGCCACTTGCATGTATGCCTAATTGCTCTCTCTCTCTCTCTCTCACACACACACACACACAATATGGGAAATCGTCACATATGAAAGAAAAATATATCATACTTTTCTTTTCCAAATATGGTTTAGTCCTCCGAAATATTCATTATACTTAAAAATCAATCATTTTTATTTCGAGGTTTTTTTGATATTGCCTTGCATGCCAAACCATTGTAAAAACCATAACTTCCACTTAAACCTTACTTCATGTTTTGCTTTGCACCAAAAACATTTTGAAGCTGTTACTCGCTGATTTATCTCATGGGAAAAAGGGTGACATTATAATTTTATAAACAAAGAAATAATATTATTGACATCAAAAAACTTAGACTACTACTCTAACTTAATGATGTGACAAGTGAAATTGTTCAACTAAAAATATTCAACAATTATAATTATAATAATATTATTAAACAATGTCCGCTGTTAAATCATTAGGTTTGTACTTTAGGTTAAATTCTTATATCCCACTAAAAGAACTCTAAACAGAGGCCAAAAGGCGCCCGGATTTTGCTCTATAAATAGAGGCATTGAGAAATCCATAGGTCACCAAAAACTAGAGCTCTCTAAGTGTTTAACACATGCAAGAGAGGAGGAGGCATTGGTGATGCTGCTGACAGAAGATAGAGAGCACAGATAGATGAAATGCATGGAGTCTGCATCTCACTCTTTGTGCTCTCTATTCTTCTGTCATCACCTTCAGCCCCTCATTCTACAGCATACACTTGAGGAGCTAATATTACTACCATATAAGAATCACTATACATACACTTACGGAGAAAAGGGTTGCACCATTCAAGAGCTCCCCCCCCCCCTCTTTTCTCTCTCTCTCTCTCGGTGTTTGTGCATGTAACAGTGTTGAGTATACCAATATATACACTATTACAGGCAGAGGAGACAGTGTTGATGCTGTTGACAGAAGATAGAGAGCACAGATGATAAGGTGCATGGAGCATGCATCTCCCTTCTTTGTGCTCTCTATTATTTTGTCATCACCCTCAGTCCCTTAACTCCTAAAAGCTTTCCATAGTGCTACTACTAAGTAATAATAATACAATTGCAAATTGTTCTTATTCTTTCATTTCATCTCTCTCTCTCTCTCTCTCCAAAAGGACCAAGATCCTTATAGAAGTTCTCACCATGCACATTAAGATATTGTCTAGATGTTCTATTTAATTTCCATTTTCTGATGTTTTAAGTGAATCAATATTAATTTCTGCATAACTGTTTTCTTTGACAGATTTAATTTGGTATATATGATGAGACAAGTGGATCATTTGATAATGCTAATTATTTGTGCATCACATTTTTTTTAGCTTTCTCCAAGTATTTTAGTTGAAGATGTTAAACATGTGCATAATATGGTTTTGATGGAATGTTTTAGCATGTTTAAGAGGCATTGTTCACCATTGTAAAAGTTTAATTGTGCGATCGGTTAAACAAATTCCCAA